ATTAAATAAACCGCACGATTGGGATGCACATCGGAGGCCGTCGGAAGAGGTTTGCTGGGTTTCGGGGTATATTGGAATGGATCTGGATTGTTCTCGTCGAATTCTTGGGCCTGCTGCAGCACTGGGACATCGAGGGAATGCGTAGGAGCGATCTCTGGACCCCCATCTTCAGGAGCATCCTCCCAGTTATCGTCAGAGATAGGAATAAAAACTTCAGCGGAAGCCTCGACGCGCTGCGCGTGGGCTAAACCCAACGCTTCGGCCTCGACAGTAAACGGAGAAGGGGCAGAAACAGGGGGCGGAATTTCACAATGGGTACCCGACTCATCCAATGAGTGGGCTGGAGGACCACCAGAGCCGGATGGCGCCTGTGAGCGTTCGGCCTCGAGAGCAGCCTCAAGAGACCGAAAGGTGACTGTACGAGATGGAAATGAACTTGTCATTCCACCTGTTCTACCCGTAGGACGGGGTGGTTTGCGGGCTGCTCCCCTACGGAGCGCGTTAACACTGCTTTGCCGTAGTTGACGAGCCTCATGTCGCTCGCGCTCGTGCGGAAGGACAGGTCGGCCATTGCAGACGATGCAAGAGCATGATACGAGACCATTCCGGGCCTCGAAGAAGGTCGGTATTCGCGGATATACGAGAAAGGAGACTACGCACCATTGAACTTGCACTGCGACAGCAGAAACGGCGTAAGCTGAGAAAGCGAGGACTGCGGCTAAATGGATGTTAATAACCTCGAGAGTGTACAGTCCATTGGTCGTACCGGTATACGTGGCAAGAAACGACGAGATGGAGGGAGGCTCGTTGCGGGGAACCTTCTTTAGGTGGACCATCTGTTGTTATAATGAACGAGTTTGATAGATGCGGCAGTGGCTGACAATAATTGCGGATACTTCGTAAATAGCAGTAGATATTTATGAGGATAGCACTGGATACCTATGCGGATAGCTGCGGATAGCTGTGGATATCTTGATTCACAGTCCGTATCAGTTCCCTAGCCCTTGGGTGCCAGCAGTTGGAAAGTTGAGACAAATGAAAACAAATGATATTTAATTGGTGATACGGACGGTAGGGGACAAATCTAAAGTATTAGCATCACCGCTACGGCGCCGCTCCCAAAACTCTCTGGTACACCCCGCGCGCTGCTTCCGTGCCTTAGTGTTAAGAGGGAGAGTCGACTGTTTCGCTGGGGTAGTCGGTCCCAGATTCTTGGATTCGGCCCATGTTCCTATCTGCAAAGGGTTAGCCCAGATTGCCGTACATATGTCTAAGAAACGCACCGAGATGCCCTCTGCCCAGATAATCATAGAAGAGGAGAGATTTGGCTGTTGTCGTGCTTTAAGTATGACAGTTGAGTAAAAGACAGAAGGACCTGGACGACATACAGTCAATAAATTTTCGTCCCACAGTGCCATTCCAGTGAAAAGACCGATGAACGTGTCGCGAGGTTGTCGGAATCGCAGAGTGGGATCAGGCCTGCGTATCCAGTCCGGGGCCGAGGGATCGCCGCAATTCCCCGTGAAGGTGTCGAGAATAGCACGGGGGCTAACGCGAAGATCGTCAGCGACGAGGAGGTGATCCGAGACCGTGGCCGTGACGTAAAGTGTGAATGACCGAGTCTCAGTGGACGGCATGTCCTGAGGGACATGGGGTGAGTGGAAGATAAGGGTAGAAAACTGGCGGACTGACCGTACTATCCACCCGCTCAATCTCACAGAGCACGTCGTCCCTCCCAACATCATGGATCGAAAGATATCCGGTAAGAAAGACATCTTTCGAAGAGGCATCCTGCTCATTCAATTTCATCCATCGGTAGATCTGCGCAGGGCTGTAGTTCCGCCGGCGCGACGAAGTGAGGAGTAGAGTGGATTTGCGGGAAAGAGTAGGAGGCATAGATGTGCGGAGGCCGTAACATGGTCCATTATAAGAGACAGAGACGAGAGGGACGAGAGGGATTCTCGAGGTATCTTCTCTAGGATATCGACAGATACCTGGACCATAGGAGCGACAGCAGATACCTTGATCACTTTGATGGCGACCACGGAATTGCCAAACATGACACGCGTCAATACTTTATCGCATTTTCTGCGACATGGGGGCCGGTTCTCGGGGGTGAAATAATAGCAGTGAATGAAAACTAGATGCCTCAAAAGTCTCGGAAATTTTTGGTTAGAGTTGAAGAGCTTTAGATAGTGAAAGAGAGAAAACTAGTACATTTTTGTGGCAGGCTCGTAAATACTAACTAAGCCCGACTCGCTATTTTGCGCAAAGTCTTCCCCCGAACCCATCTGGAGCGATCCTGCGCAAGACGATACTTGTGGAGCCGTTCTTTGCGCCTGACTTCACGGCATCGCGCTATGACCTTCGCCTGGGCCGACGTTCCTTCCTGATTCAAATAGCAAAAAATCAGGCCTAACGTGCCGAGAAAAATATTTTTCGACACTCACGGCATGCCGCATCGCCCATGCGAGCATTGGATTCGAAACTCTGTCCTGAAAGTATTTTTGTAAGTGGACTCGTTATCAAGTAGCCCATATACTTACATGCACGAGGTCGCCGACCTGAAGGTCAGAAAGTCCGCAAAATACCTGGGCCATCCAATCCCGGGGTTGCACGAAGGAGTAATTCTCTCCGACGATCAGCTCGAGCCAAGCAGGCGCGTTGCGATCGTCCCTTGATCCGAGATAATGTGCGAGAAGCACCATGGGACTCCAAGTAACACCAAGTTCGGCCGCCGCCGGTGTCTGTACTTGCATCCACATATAAAAGGTATCTGGGTCCCGATAGTCGCCCTCGATCTTGCCCTATACAAGGAGCCTGTGGTCAGAGATGAAAAGACGGGAAGTTTATTATGCGCACCGATCTGAATCTCGTCCAGACATTGACGAGGACCTCGTGTCGTGGGTCAACTTTCGTGATCGGGACCTCGGGAGTAAAATAGTAAACACGGTTATTAGATAGCCATGTGTCGACGGGATCGATCTTGGTGGCGTCGAGAGCGAGAAAATATTCTCGAGCTCTTTTTTGACGTTGCTTACGCTCTGCAGCTATCTGCATCTGGTGTGCGTAATTGGAAAATGCGTAAGACTTTGAGTGAATAGCGGGCATTTGGACGGAGGATTGGACTTAGCATTCTGCGACGGGTCTTTTGAAGCGGCCTATGAGGGAATCAGCAGTTATCCGCTGCCAATACCTTCTGAGTCTGGGGTATCAACCTGTAGATATCTCTGGTATCCTGTAGTGAGATATCGGGGAAGATACCTGAGGTGTCGCCTGGGGTGATACCTTACGATACGCTGATTGATACCTGTTGATATCTTGATGGATACCTCAGGTATCTGGTGCGGACGATATCCCGAGTGTCGACGATATCCCGAGTGTCGACCCATCGGATATCTTCGGATACTTTCGGATACCGTCGGATATCGATGGATACCTAAGGTATTGACAGGTATCCACCCTGGTGGATAATTTGCAGGAAACGCAGTGATTAATCTCGAAGGCAGATATTTTTGTAATTTGGATAGCGGACAGCAGGATGTTTCCATATTGGCATCTCAAGTTGAACATTAGGGTCAATTGAGAGACCTGTAAATTTGAGGTTGAACTCCTGGGCTACAGAGATTATACCCTTAAGGTCATCAGGTATTGCATTTGACCTGGGGATGGGGAAGTGTATATTGTTCATGAATATGTTGATGATTTGACCAGGCCTTATATTTAGGTAGCTGGTCTCCACGTATTTTTTGAGTATGTAGTCGACAAAATAGCACCATAGTGGACGATCCTCTCCTTGCATCAGATAGCATTGAAGATTCCAAAGATTAATAGCTTTATTTCGAGCAGAGATATCTAAAATTCCTTTGCCTCCACTGTCATTTGGGAGGGTCATTGTCTCGAGAGACACTCTGGCTGTCTTTCCGTCCCACAAGAAGGAACATATCAGTTTTTCAAGGGTTTCTTCAATTTCCTTTGGCATTCCTTGGACTCTCGTCAGATACTGTGTCCGACCTCCAATTACCATGCTTATGATTTGCCGTTTCTCCTCAAGTGTTGGGAGTGTTGTTTGCCAGTGCATGATATCTGCATTAATTTTCTCCAACATGGAGGGCCATGGTGCAGTATAAGGAATTTTGTTTCCAATCCATGCCCCTAGCATACGGCAGCTCTCGCCATCAGGGACAATTCTAATAGTTTTGTTGATAGCACCAATTGGGCATGACTGCCTTATTGAGTCAAATGCTAATTTCTGTGTTTGGCGGGGAAAATTACGATACAGGATACAGGATTTTAAATAGGGATCCCGAACAGGGCCTTACAGTGGAGCGGGTGAGCTCGTCCTGAGGTTTGCTTTACGAGATGGATTGCAAAATGGCAAATTTGGTACATTGATTACTTTACGGCGGACCGACCTAGGGGTGAGTGATAGGGGGCCTATTCAACCTCTATGAATTCAACAATATAATTCTCAAGGGCACAAGTTTTTCAAAATCAAACGGCATTCATAAAGTGTAATACAGGCACCTGTTTGAGGTCTCGTACACCCTTTAAGTTGTGGTGTTGAAGCATATAAGCCGTAAGTTGGGGTAATAGGTAAGTGGGCAGTGGTCCTGCCGAAGACCAGCTTAGTTTGATCCCTACAGAGGCTACAACAAAATTACTCATATCTCATATGACCGTGGCAACAGCATGGTAGGAAATTGGATCAAGGTTTTCCAAACAATGAAGTGTAAAAATTTCGTTCGCCCAGCCAACGGAGAGCTCGGTGAAACTACTGCAGCCGCGCAACCGAGCAAGCGTTGGGCTGCTTTCAACTCTACTTTATGTGACAATCCATAATAAATTGTATCGAACCTGAATAAACTAAAATTGGTAGCGGGCCATGCCGCTTGTCGGCCTTACCCGCTTTATTTCCGCAATATTGGCATATAGGGAATATAGATTTATTCTTTTTGGTTTGTTGCCCAGTTAGCTGGTGCAGCTTCATCTAGTTTGCCAGCCTCGTAGTGTAGCGGTAACACACCGCGTTTAATTTGCCAGCAATCCTTTAGGTAAACATTTCACGTGGAGACCTACGTTCAATTCGTAGCGAGGCTCTTTTTGGCCCTATATTAAATGTTAATCACGTCCTTCAAGTTTTTAATTTTTCTTATGCCATCCTTTTTAAACTGTTTCCTATTCTCTGATGACTATGGTTACGGTGGACTGTACCGGGACCATTGTACTTACCTTAGGGGGACTAGTCTGCCGGCCTCGTATTGTACGGGTAACACACCTGTGGTCGTATATAAGTTTCACACTGGGGGAAGGGGGGTGGGGCTCGGAAAATTGAGGCAGGGGCGTGCGCCTTGCGCCTTGTTTTGCCGTGCGTGCCCCCAACCGGGCAAAAACTTGCTGGCCGGCGGGGAGTGGACTCGGGCGTCGAAGGAAAAGCCCTTCCTCTATGGGATATTCCTGGTGCTCGATGCCAATTTCCAGATGAGACGAAAGCGTGTATCGGAGGAGGAGGTAGATCACGGCCTGAACAACGGCATGGCCTTCTACAACAAAATTTAGGCGTACATGGCATGTAGGATTCCACTGGGACCTCGAGCAGAAGGTGAGTTGAGGAGTGCGAGCACTGAGCTGTTCAAGTTGACGCCCTTTAAGAAGAGCAGATGTGTATCGTACGACGCCGTCAATCAGCATGGCCGAGAGTCTAGAGGAACGGCATCTTCTGGTATCGGTACCGTCGACTGCGCTTGCCACAACATGAAGCGCCCAAATGCGGTCGGAGATCTTCAGAAGGGAGAACGGTATGTATCTCTAGATCTGATAGCAGCTGCTCTCTGGTTTACTGATAAACACCCTCAATAGATACAGTTGCAAACTAGGAAGCGAAAACGGCCAAACAAATTGACAAATAACGTGGAAAAAATCACTGCGTTTCCTGCAAATTATCCACCAGGGTGGATACCTGTCAATACCTTAGGTATCCATCGATATCCGACGGTATCCGAAAGTATCCGAAGATATCCGATGGGTCGACACTCGGGATATCGTCCGCACCAGATACCTGAGGTATCCATCAAGATATCAACAGGTATCAATCAGCGTATCGTAAGGTATCACCCCAGGCGACACCTCAGGTATCTTCCCCGATATCTCACTACAGGATACCAGAGATATCTACAGGTTGATACCCCAGACTCAGAAGGTATTGGCAGCGGATAACTGCTGATTCCCTCATAGGCCGCTTCAAAAGACCCGTCGCAGAATGCTAAGTCCAATCCTCCGTCCAAATGCCCGCTATTCACTCAAAGTCTTACGCATTTTCCAATTACGCACACCAGATGCAGATAGCTGCAGAGCGTAAGCAACGTCAAAAAAGAGCTCGAGAATATTTTCTCGCTCTCGACGCCACCAAGATCGATCCCGTCGACACATGGCTATCTAATAACCGTGTTTACTATTTTACTCCCGAGGTCCCGATCACGAAAGTTGACCCACGACACGAGGTCCTCGTCAATGTCTGGACGAGATTCAGATCGGTGCGCATAATAAACTTCCCGTCTTTTCATCTCTGACCACAGGCTCCTTGTATAGGGCAAGATCGAGGGCGACTATCGGGACCCAGATACCTTTTATATGTGGATGCAAGTACAGACACCGGCGGCGGCCGAACTTGGTGTTACTTGGAGTCCCATGGTGCTTCTCGCACATTATCTCGGATCAAGGGACGATCGCAACGCGCCTGCTTGGCTCGAGCTGATCGTCGGAGAGAATTACTCCTTCGTGCAACCCCGGGATTGGATGGCCCAGGTATTTTGCGGACTTTCTGACCTTCAGGTCGGCGACCTCGTGCATGTAAGTATATGGGCTACTTGATAACGAGTCCACTTACAAAAATACTTTCAGGACAGAGTTTCGAATCCAATGCTCGCATGGGCGATGCGGCATGCCGTGAGTGTCGAAAAATATTTTTCTCGGCACGTTAGGCCTGATTTTTTGCTATTTGAATCAGGAAGGAACGTCGGCCCAGGCGAAGGTCATAGCGCGATGCCGTGAAGTCAGGCGCAAAGAACGGCTCCACAAGTATCGTCTTGCGCAGGATCGCTCCAGATGGGTTCGGGGGAAGACTTTGCGCAAAATAGCGAGTCGGGCTTAGTTAGTATTTACGAGCCTGCCACAAAAATGTACTAGTTTTCTCTCTTTCACTATCTAAAGCTCTTCAACTCTAACCAAAAATTTCCGAGACTTTTGAGGCATCTAGTTTTCATTCACTGCTATTATTTCACCCCCGAGAACCGGCCCCCATGTCGCAGAAAATGCGATAAAGTATTGACGCGTGTCATGTTTGGCAATTCCGTGGTCGCCATCAAAGTGATCAAGGTATCTGCTGTCGCTCCTATGGTCCAGGTATCTGTCGATATCCTAGAGAAGATACCTCGAGAATCCCTCTCGTCCCTCTCGTCTCTGTCTCTTATAATGGACCATGTTACGGCCTCCGCACATCTATGCCTCCTACTCTTTCCCGCAAATCCACTCTACTCCTCACTTCGTCGCGCCGGCGGAACTACAGCCCTGCGCAGATCTACCGATGGATGAAATTGAATGAGCAGGATGCCTCTTCGAAAGATGTCTTTCTTACCGGATATCTTTCGATCCATGATGTTGGGAGGGACGACGTGCTCTGTGAGATTGAGCGGGTGGATAGTACGGTCAGTCCGCCAGTTTTCTACCCTTATCTTCCACTCACCCCATGTCCCTCAGGACATGCCGTCCACTGAGACTCGGTCATTCACACTTTACGTCACGGCCACGGTCTCGGATCACCTCCTCGTCGCTGACGATCTTCGCGTTAGCCCCCGTGCTATTCTCGACACCTTCACGGGGAATTGCGGCGATCCCTCGGCCCCGGACTGGATACGCAGGCCTGATCCCACTCTGCGATTCCGACAACCTCGCGACACGTTCATCGGTCTTTTCACTGGAATGGCACTGTGGGACGAAAATTTATTGACTGTATGTCGTCCAGGTCCTTCTGTCTTTTACTCAACTGTCATACTTAAAGCACGACAACAGCCAAATCTCTCCTCTTCTATGATTATCTGGGCAGAGGGCATCTCGGTGCGTTTCTTAGACATATGTACGGCAATCTGGGCTAACCCTTTGCAGATAGGAACATGGGCCGAATCCAAGAATCTGGGACCGACTACCCCAGCGAAACAGTCGACTCTCCCTCTTAACACTAAGGCACGGAAGCAGCGCGCGGGGTGTACCAGAGAGTTTTGGGAGCGGCGCCGTAGCGGTGATGCTAATACTTTAGATTTGTCCCCTACCGTCCGTATCACCAATTAAATATCATTTGTTTTCATTTGTCTCAACTTTCCAACTGCTGGCACCCAAGGGCTAGGGAACTGATACGGACTGTGAATCAAGATATCCACAGCTATCCGCAGCTATCCGCATAGGTATCCAGTGCTATCCTCATAAATATCTACTGCTATTTACGAAGTATCCGCAATTATTGTCAGCCACTGCCGCATCTATCAAACTCGTTCATTATAACAACAGATGGTCCACCTAAAGAAGGTTCCCCGCAACGAGCCTCCCTCCATCTCGTCGTTTCTTGCCACGTATACCGGTACGACCAATGGACTGTACACTCTCGAGGTTATTAACATCCATTTAGCCGCAGTCCTCGCTTTCTCAGCTTACGCCGTTTCTGCTGTCGCAGTGCAAGTTCAATGGTGCGTAGTCTCCTTTCTCGTATATCCGCGAATACCGACCTTCTTCGAGGCCCGGAATGGTCTCGTATCATGCTCTTGCATCGTCTGCAATGGCCGACCTGTCCTTCCGCACGAGCGCGAGCGACATGAGGCTCGTCAACTACGGCAAAGCAGTGTTAACGCGCTCCGTAGGGGAGCAGCCCGCAAACCACCCCGTCCTACGGGTAGAACAGGTGGAATGACAAGTTCATTTCCATCTCGTACAGTCACCTTTCGGTCTCTTGAGGCTGCTCTCGAGGCCGAACGCTCACAGGCGCCATCCGGCTCTGGTGGTCCTCCAGCCCACTCATTGGATGAGTCGGGTACCCATTGTGAAATTCCGCCCCCTGTTTCTGCCCCTTCTCCGTTTACTGTCGAGGCCGAAGCGTTGGGTTTAGCCCACGCGCAGCGCGTCGAGGCTTCCGCTGAAGTTTTTATTCCTATCTCTGACGATAACTGGGAGGATGCTCCTGAAGATGGGGGTCCAGAGATCGCTCCTACGCATTCCCTCGATGTCCCAGTGCTGCAGCAGGCCCAAGAATTCGACGAGAACAATCCAGATCCATTCCAATATACCCCGAAACCCAGCAAACCTCTTCCGACGGCCTCCGATGTGCATCCCAATCGTGCGGTTTATTTAATATATCTCGTTGTCTTCTGGCTCCATGCGCAGTTCCATCTCCCATTCCGCGCGTGCAGCGCACTTCTTTCAGTCATAGCCCTAGCTTTCCAGGCTGCTAACGCCCCGATTTCTCCGGCCATCCATACGACTCTCCCTTCCGTCATCAATCAGCTGGACGCCGAGCCCACCTTCCAAATTCTCCCGGTCTGTCCCGGCTGTTTGGAGGTTTATGCCGCCTCCGTCCCCAGGGATTCCCTGTGTACCCGGTGCTCCCATCCCCTTTTCCCTACCACACCGACCCCAGCGGAGCTTCGACGTGGTCGTACTACCCCGGAAAACCCTCGCCCCCATCTCCAATTCCCTATGAAGTCCATCGAAGAACAACTTGCCGCACTTCTCCAGATACCAGGCATGGAGGACGAGATGGAGAAGTCCATCAACCGTGCCCGGTCGTCCATTCCTGGGAAATGGACGAATATATTTGATGGAAAAGTATGTCAAGAGCTGCCTACTGCAGATGGGAGCCGTTTTTTTTTTCCCGAGCAAAGAGGAGGTTTCTCGAGGCGAACTTCGGATCGGTACAATGCACTCACCCCATTTGATTGCCATGCCCGCCCCCTGACTTCGAGGCCGCTTTCTCCTCCACCTTCGGTCCGACGGTGTTCTTTGAAGACGTCGGGATCAATTTCTCCCGGATCAGAATGCTCGGAAGGAACATATTCGCT